CCCCAAAACCCCAAAACCCCAAAACCCCAAAACCCCAGTAACTAAAATACATTATACGTAAAATGTAATTGATTGTTTAAATAGAGAATTCATTTAGTATTTATAGCTACTTAGAATTTTCAAATCTATTTGTCCTTAGTAACTGCGTGGAAAGCATCTGAAATATATTCTAAGTTGTGGGTGTTGAGACCACAGATTGAAATTCTACCTTCACCAGACATATAGATGGAGTATTTAGCTCTAAGTTCATCAACCATCTCCTTTGTAAGACCAGTGTAAGCAAACATACCAATTTGATCGGTGATATGTCTCCAGCTATGTTAGCTGCCTCTAGCCTTAAGATTTTCTACAAGCCCTGTTCTCATAGTTGCCATTCTACCTGACATGACCTTTAATTCACTGTGCCATTCATTTGTCAAGGCAGGGTCGCTAAGGACAATATCAACTAATCTAGCTCCATGAATAGGTGGGTTTGAGTAAAAGGCTCTTGCCAATTCCTTTACTCTTGACATTACAACCTCTGTCTCCTTCTTGCTGCCAGTGACAAGTGAGAGGCAGCCAGCTCTTTGTCCATAGATACCGAAATTCTTGGCAAATGATTGGAAGAGCATGATTCTATCATATTCTGAAGTGAAAAGATTAAGTGAATAGGCATCCTTTTATAGATCTCCTGAGGCAAATCCTTAATATGCGGAATCAAAACAAACAAAGTGGTTCTTTCTCTTAACAACTTCAAGAATATCTTTCCATTGAGCTGGAGTTGGATCAACACCAGTTGGGTTGTGTGCACAGACGTGGAAAAGAACAATTGAATCGTTCTTTGCTTTGTCAAGATCTTCTTAGAGACCTTAGAAATCAAGACCTCTGGTCTTTGGATCGTAATATCTATATTAAACAGCTTTCATTCCAACTTTACCTGGAATGGTCCTGTGAACTGGCCAAGTTGGGTTTGGTACAAGGACTTCAGCTTGTTTGTTAGGGTAGAATTGTGAAAGGAAATCAAAACCTAATCTTATTGAACCAGTTCCTGAGATTGATTATGCTCCAGCAACTCTTCCATCCTTAAGAAGTTGACTATCAGCTCCATATGCAAGCTTTAATGCATTGGCTATAAATGAATCAATACCTTGAATGCCAGCATATTCATGATCCATCTTTCTGTCAATTATGATTTATTCAGCCTTTCTAATGCAGTTTAAGATATATGGCTTGTTTTCATTATCTCTGTAAACTCCCATTCCTAAAAGGACTTTCTTTGGATTTGGATCCTTTTTGAATACTTCATTTAAACCGAGAATTGGATCGGGTGGTGCAGCTTCTAATGTTGACCAGGTTGAGAAAGTCGAGCAAGCAACCTTGTTGAATTAGGCGGCGCTTTTGAAGTTTTTAGCGATGATATTTGAAAGCATTTCAAATCTTTTTAATAAATTATTCAATTTAAGTGATGACGACTTATTATCATCCAAGTATGTATTTAAAAGAATGATCAAGCATAAGTTCCTTAAGTTTCTATTAAAAATTAATTGTATCATCGCTATAAATCAACTCAAAATAAGGGATTGGGGTTTTGGGGTTTTGGGGTTTTGGGGAGATCGGAAGAGCACACGTCTGA